TGAGCGTGGTGCTGACAACACCAAGTCAAGGGTTAAGATCCCCATACCGGTCATCTTTTTTTAAAAAAAATGATGCAGTTCTTAACTCGCTTTCTTCACGGAAGTGTCCTGTGCACCGTGTGCCTCACGCGTCCACTGCGCACCGTCATCCTTCCTGCTCGGTGTCCACTGTGACCTGCACCCTTCGTCCCGACAGCCTCTCAGTGCGCTTCGGCAGGCCGTGCCTTTATTTATTTTTCACTCTTGCATAAAATGTCACGAATACCCGGGTGATTATAAGGAGTAACATTTTAAATCTTTCCAACCCACTCTGAGGTTGTTCTTCCTATTTTCACGGGAAAGTAAGGTACCAAGGCCACACAGCTAGTAGACGGCAGAGCGGGACTTGAATCCACGGACGAGCACGGAGCTCTGGGCAGGCAGCTGGAGACCCTAGGTGGGGAGGCCCAGGAGAAACTCAGCTTAGTGCGAGCGCAGTGTGCTACGGGACTCAGTTTCCCCATCCGGGATCTTGGTGGCAACAGCGGGACAGAAGTAGGCCTGACCCCCACTACAGGGCTTCGAAAGGCTGCTGTTATCTTCGTTATCACGACGGCTGCCCGGGGGGGTAACCGATGCGCTCACGCGTCCGGGGGACCCGGCTGGTCCCCGCTCTCCCTTCCCCGCAGCGCCGCCCGGGGGCGGAGCNGCACAGCCCTATGTTTCCTCCCCCAGGGACATAATTGTGTTCCTTTTACTTTTAAAACTTTAATCAGTATGACAGGCAAAATCTCTCTCCTGTCCCTGGCTGTGAGAGGTGGCTGCTGCCTGCCTTATGTTTAAACAATACATTGTATAATTTTATTCTCTTCCTCGACCTGTCTTTTTCACTCTTCTGTCTCTAAGAGTCATCCATGTAATTATATTCATTCATTTCCCCTGCCGTATAACATTCCATAGTGCGAATGTTCCATGGTGTAAAAAAATTCCATCCTCCTGTTGATAGGTATTTGGGCTGTTTCCAGTTCCCTATTATTTTAAGCCATGCCGCTTATGTACTTTGTTGAGTACATCTGCAGGAATTTTTCCAGGGTATACATACTGAGGTGTGGAATGCAAATTTTCACAACTTTGTTTTCCAAAGTGATTATACAAGATGCAGTTCTTAGGGCTGGCCCGTGGCTCACTCAGGAGAGTGCGGTGCTGATAACACCAAGGCCCCGGGTT